TGAACGTATCGGACTTTTAAATATAAAAAAAATAAGATGTTCATTACAGTCAACTGTAATTCCTATTAATACAGTAAAAAAGTAGTTTGGATTATCAAAGTGGGAAGGAATAATGCTTAAATTCCTCAAGTTTCTGAGAAAAATTCTAGCAGGTAGCCCAAATCATGGTCAAGTATTAAAGCAACAAGACTGGGATACCACTGAATTGCAGTAATTCTCTTAATAAGAGGTATTTTATTTTTACATCCTCTGTGCGTGACTGTTGGAAGTACATTTAAATGTTTGCCAAACTGAGATTTCATGACATAAGAACAGCAAACTTGGAGATTAGAAGGGCATCTTGGTGTTGTCAGCATCAAAGTGCTTCTATCCTCTATTACTGAGGCCAGAAATTTTGAAAAACTGAGTTAGCACTAATTACTACATACTAGTGAGTATAAAATAACGATAGAGGCAATATTTGCTATGTGGACTTCACAGTTTAGAAGTTACCATTTCACAAATGTTATGAATACTTCCAGATATGCTAGTGGAATTACATATTTGACTTTCCACTTTAAGACTACTTAACAGAATATGAAATTCTTCCATCACAATGGTAATGAAGCTCAAACTTCATACTCCCACAGGAGACTCTACAAACAAATCCAGCAGAAAACAGATCTGTGCAGTATTTGTAATTATTTTGGAACAATATGACACTGATCCATCACATCAATGTTTATATTTCAGTTTCTAGAGTTTATGACAGAGAAAAACAATTGACAATGCAAAGTAACTAAGCTACATACAAGGAAAGAGAGTTATCCACAATTCTGAGTAATATCAAATGCAAGCTCTTGAAATGAATGCAGTCAAGGAATGAATTTGACCTACCAGGTTTGTCGTGAACCTCCTCCACACATTACATTTATTACACAAATGAGTACTTGCGCAGAACTACACTGTTTAGTCCTTTTTTCCCCCCAGATACTGACCTACTGATGCTTCAGTTTTCCATCCTCAAAACTGACAGGGGCTTTTCCCACTCTCATTGGAGCATTTTGAGGATAAAGACAACACAAATCATGGAATATTCAGCAAGTGCTCTGATGTGGCTAGACAGAATAGATTTTTTAAAATGCCAAATAACCAATCATTTATACAAAGGGTCTCACCATCAACCCTGCAGAGAGATGTCCTAGGACTCTGCCACATTAAACATTTACCTAACTAATCTGCTGGAGAAGAAAACAGCAAGATAAGGTATGGCTAGTGGTAAGGCATAATTTTGTAATGAAAACGGGAGAAACTGTTCTACCAAACCTGGAACTATTATTTTTAAGACTAAGAGAAGCATGTTTCTAGGTAATCACTTTAAAATAACTGATGGCGTACTATAAAGTCTAGTTAAAGCTTGAACAAGTAAATAAATACGCACGAGAACTGCCTAAGGCCTATTATCTTCAGGTCAGGGACTACCTGGATGTGAGAGAAAAACACCAGCTCCACTTACCTTGCCATCAAATTTGGAGTACTCGTTGAAGGGGTTATTCAGCTGCAGCGGACACTGTTCAAGTCGCACAGACAGTATTGACTGCTTCCCAGAACATGGAGATTTTACTCTGAAATTCTTTTTTTCAAATAGTGAGCTCAGCTCCTCTGCTGTAGATCAGAAAAGAGATTAGAGTAGTTGTAGTATGAGATGTACAGAGGCTACTGTTTACCACAGAAAGGTAACATTATAAGAGGGAGAACAAAATCAAATACATAAACCAACAAATGTTTTAGCAGGGCAGAATCTACCGCTGCTCTTTCGTAGCCCAAAGATATGAAACCATAAGAAGGTTGAATGATGTTACAGTTTAGGCTGCGGAAAAGATAAATTTTTGCCATACAGAGAACGGAACTGATCACTACAAGATCCACCTGAGTCAAGAGGAAAATCAAGATTC